TCGGCTTTCACCCATCCAAGTATATATAATCCTACTTATTTTAAACTTAATTAATTTTACATGCCCTAGAATTCCCTAATTTTATTTTGGTTTTTATTTTAAACTTTAATAACCGAGTATTCTTAATGACTCTACCTACCTGACTTATTATAGATGCAGTCGACCCATCTGATACTAAAATCGAATTTCTATCTGAGTCAAGTCTCATGCTAGGCTGGAAAAAACCTAACCCTCCTGGTGACGTGATCGCTTATTATATCAAAGCAACAGCTACTGGAATTGTTGATACACAACCAGTCCTAATAGTAATAGGCCTAAATAAAGAGGCTGCAGCAATTAGTTCATTGAAGTCTTGCACTAAGTATAATTTGTTTTTGCAGTCGGCATCAGAGGATATGCTTTCAAGAGGAGTGAATACAGAAGGATGGACAAGTAAATAATTTAAATATGCAGGAGTGTTAGAATAATTTAAATATATCTATTTGTCGGTTGCATGTATAATACATGCGATTGTTATTGTATTCTGTGCTTATTTTTTGTCTTTAGTCTGTAAAATTGTACAACTTTAGATCTCAGTTCCTGGACTACTTTTATTGTTCTCAAATATTTTACAGCGTCTGTGATGCTGGATTCAGATGGATAACGTGCTCATAAATTCTCTTTTATGTATATTATTGTGAGCTAATAAACAAGTATTCCTAGAACGCCAGACGAGTGCCTTTCTGAATACTGTTCCGTGACACGAAGCTGGAATGAAATCCTTGAGGCACACTGAATAATATTTCGATAAAAATGTTCTAATAATTTTTTTATATATTCCAGTTCTGGCATGAAATTTGAATGATACAAATGATGTTGCCTTGGAACGCTTCGATGAATCTGTGTTTTTATAGAGATGAAATCAAAACACTGCTTTGAGGGGTTAAAATATAGCTACATGTACTAAGTCTAAATAAATTATTAAGGTGGTTTACAGCAGGAAATATTTTTTTACCACCAAACATAGTTGCCTTATATTGTATGCATAGTGAGATGAAACTGAAGGGAATACACATCAGTAAACAGACGGTGCTATGCCTCCATAAATTTACCAAATGATTTTGAATCTTCCAACCAACTTTTGAGACTTTTAATAGATTTTGCAATATGTAGACAAAGAGCTTAATTAGCTGGCATAAATTATTGTTGCTAATATGGCTCAAATACTAATAAAAGTTATTATTTTTAATTATTAACACTTTCCTACAGAATTTATGCCGATTACAGTAAGTGTTGCTAACGTACCTGGCACAAGTGGGGGAATATCAATCAAAATTACTTCTGGCAACCCTCCCACCTGCAAGCCATTTTATAAAATTACGGCCAAGTTTCCTACAGGGGAAAGGATCATAACCACTGATCAGGCTGGTACGTACCATTGTATCTTTCATGGTTGAGCTATGCAGAACATTGAATAATAAAAATTATGTTATAATTCTTGATATATACCTTGCTATTTAAATGTATTTGCACGATATAGACAAGGTTATTTTGTGAAACTAGTATAAAATAGGGCGTATTTTACACAATTTGCGCAACCATCTCCAAAAGCTATTGAAAAATGAATATAATTCGTTGGTGATGATCAGGTAAATCTCACCATTAAATCTAGCTCATGAAAGCATGAACCATGAGAAGAAACAATAAGTCACAATTCAAATTATTCAAGTGTTTTAAGCAGCTATTCTTTAAGCTCATTTTCGCAACTTCATCATATTGGCCCTTTTTCCAAAGTTCATAATGTGCAGAATAAATTCTAGAGTCGAACTTTGGACTTCGTACATTCCCAGGCGTTTTGTCAGCATCGGCAGTGAGTCTTGCTATTCCTAGCACCACGTTAAAACAAGTCAATGAGACAACTAAAGTCGATTATTTGACAATTTTTCTGCTAAACATTTGTGCTATCGCTTCTCCTGTTATTGGTTATTTACTTACCCTTATCTCCGTTTCAGTTCTTCACTATCAAAATTTCTTACTTGTGTATTTAAATGTGGTATCGTGTAGCCATTTGAGCGAATTTCATGAGAACTCTTTACATCCTTTCAGGATAAAACGTTTGCCACTATAATGAAACGTCTTAAATTAAATGGCACCAAGCGCTAATTTAAGGCTAATTAACAGCTACAAAGTTTACACTACCTCAGGCCTAAAGTAATCTTCTGCTGCCTTATGTGATGTCTAATAAATACAAATTATAACTAATAACGACGTCAATCAAAGAGAACATATTAGAATAATGCCTAATTTTAACTTGGTTTTATTGAGCTCCTTTACTTTTTTGCCCATAGCCGGCTAATGTCACACAAAAAACCAGACACATCTCACTAAAATACCAATATTTTATCTGGTTCGATTTTCAACCATAAATAATTGGCTAAATAGTATTTCGAGTAATTTCAGCTGGCTGATAAATTAAACTCTTATCTGGTTCACTCGATAGATAAGCATCTTATATTTACCAGATTTGTTTAAATTTAAATATAAAGTATTTAGTTTGTGTTCATCAAGATCTACAAAATAATACTACTTTTGGCATTTACACGCAATTCTGTTTATTTATTATGCACTGTGATTTACTACTAAAGAAATATTTCGCCACATTCCTGCCTTTTCAGAAAGTACTATGTATCATCTTCCGAGTGGTGCTAATGTTGACTTTTTCGCCGTAGCTTTCAATGATGAGAACCGAAGCGATCCAAGCCCAACTGTCTCTATAATAGTTGATGCTTACGATATCAGTAAATGTAAGTAATTAAAATTTTGTGCTAGATGCTGCTCATAGTATATGCGGTTTAATGTTTGCATTTCTTGTTTTCCTTACATTAATAAATTGTACCGGTTGCAACTGTTTAAAAAGAAATAACTTCTATTATTTTTGTTCAATGGAGACAAAACTGCATTACTTGCGCTGACCTTAATGCACTTGCCAAAAATGTATTTAGGACAAAAGATGTAACTTTAAATCACGCGATTCCGATATTGCCAAACAAAGTTCCATTTGAATTACTTAAATTATTTTCTCTGTATGCCTAAATTTTAGCAATATTGTACGAAGAATAGAGACAATAATAGTATAATCAAAAAAGCTAAAGATAGCTGAAGTTTGAGTCTATCAGGGCTTGTGATGAGTAAGATGAATGGTTTAATTGTGTAGATTTTAGTTAAATAATGCTAGAAATAGGTATATTCTTGCTCAGGTAATACATCCGGATTAACGAGAAAGATA